AATAGCCACTGTTCGCCAATGGCGTGTGACGTGGGTGACTTTAACNCAATGGATGGAGGGCTCGTATGTGGCTGCGCAACAAATAAATATTTTGGAGAGTATTTCAGGGGGGAGGCGCGATATGGCAGCTAGGCTATTGTGGCGGGATTTAAGCGCTCGTTCAGCAGCTCGTGCAGCAACTGCGTTGCGAGATTCCCACTTCCGTTCTCGCAACTCAATCATATCCTGAACATTTTGAATTAGTGCGGTTGAGCCAATGTTGAAAAATTGATACCGACCTGCAACATGAACTGCATTCGTAAGCTGACATTCTGGTTCTTGGAAAGCTCTTTCATCCGAGAGAAATAGACCTCCATATGGGCCCGGGCCCTCGGTGTGTCGAAACTGGCGCCGACAGTGGTCAGCAATGTGCACAAACTTTCGATCTCTTCCTCCTCGGGGTTCTCCACATTTCCGAGTAGTTTCTTGACACACTCATGCATAATACGTTCGGTCAGCATCTGTAGTTTGAAGAATTCGCCAATAAACTTGATCAGACCGAGACCTTGTCGCTTGGCCTTCTGTGCAGCGTAGTATTCGTCAGAATATAGCGCGACTTTCTCAGTTCCACCCTCCTTGCTCTGCCGGATGACAGCCTTTGCAGCTTCATCCCTCGAAGCTTTGACAGCAGCAGCAGCAGCGGTTGCCTCCTTCGCTACCCAACCGCGCTCAAAATCTTTTTGACATCTGTTGAGCATGTATTTTCGGAAGAGTTGACCACCAGCAATGGGCTTTCCGTCAAGGCTCTTGATTCCGTGATCCTGAACTTTGGAGCTAATCTGTTCCATCATTTTCCTCCAAAGGCGAGCGTACATCTCTGACCAAATAGCTTCATCAATAGCCTTCTCAAAGACGAGTCTGATAACTTGAACGAGAGTCCTTCCGTCCTTCTCTTTCTCCGATTTATTCGCCCAAGCGATAACTTGATCAGAGATGGAATCGAACTTCTGCATGGTCAACTTGTTGAGTAGAGCCGTGACCTTGCGATCAACAAATACGGGTGAATCAGGATCGATCGGCATCGCCCTCCTGTCCCAACGGTTGGCAGACATCCGAAGAGGTGCGACGGGTTTGAGTTCAACATTCTGAAAAGCGCTGGCTTGGAAGTCGTTGTAGCCAGATCCACGACCCTGTTGGACATTATTCATCTCGTTTCGCTCCCCTCCGCGCTTGCTTTGAGTACGATCCCTGAGTAGAGCACCATCAGCACCGTCTTGGCAGCCTCGTTGGGTATCTTGGGTTGAGTCTAGATATCCCGACTTCAAATCTAATTGAGTTTGAAAATGGAAGCATACCGGTGGGAAGGTGATCATCGAGTTTATGGTCTTGAGGATTTGGGCCAACGCCAGAACCTGATATGTTGAGGTTGTCGAGTCGAGTGGTCATTGTGGTGTTCGTTCAGTAGAGTTGCTTATATAAGCAACCTTATTGCATCTTGCTAGGTTTTTAAAGTTGCTGACCCACGCCGCAGCACTACGTGACCCAATCGAAGCTAGAGGGCCGTGAATCTATGAGCAAGGGCGCGAAGAAAAGTCCTCGAGCGTTCCATGAAGTTTTATTCAGTTGCAGTTCGCGACCGAACCAACCCTCCTAGTAGAGAGTCGGGGAACAACC